ATCCCATCCTGTATCAGTTCCCTTCTCTAACTTTACTTACATAAGTGCACTACATAGTAACTTTCTAGGTCAGTTACCATTTTTTCACCTGCTGTATTGGCAATATTCCTTAGTATTTGCTTTTTATTTATGATTGATTAAAATAGCTTAAATGCTGAGTTAAAAATCCACCATGTTTAGTTTCATCTACTTTTTGTTTTATCAATTAATTTGGTGCCTGATAACCAGGATAATATATTATTATTATATTATGCACCTAAAGAGTAACAGCTCTGTTATTCTTGTGCACCCATCTCTTAATTTGACCTTTTTTTGAAGAATTATTTCTTTCTTCAATATCTGTCTCATTTAAAACATCTTGAAATAAGGTATTTGACTATTGTCTTTCAATGGATCCTTTGTGGTAAATTCAGTCTTAGTTAACATTAATAATTATCACTGTAACTTCAGTATTAATAAGTAATACTTCTGCAGTGTTTCTGAGATACCATTCAGTAGATCCAATCCTAAAGAAAAGGATCAAATTAGTAAGTACTCTCCTTCAAATTCTCTTTACAAGTGGATTTATCTATTTTAAAAAACGGGGGGGGGGGGGAATCTTGAACAGGCTTATTATTTAGGGGTTTCCTAGAATCATTCTAAAACTTTTTTCCTAGAAACTTTCTTAGACTTTGCAGTTATATTAAAATCTAGTTGTTATTGTCTAGTTTAAAGAATTATAGAAGGTTAATGGAATATTAAGAAATAATAGTTAAGAAATTATTAATATACATTCTCCATTTCTTTGCCATGGATTGATTGATGATGATGATGATGATCTAATTAAAATTTTCATTTATATATATATAAAATTATTAACTTAACACGTTCCCATAACAAGAATTCATTCCAAATATGTCATATGTTTTTTGCTTAATTTTGCTTAAGTTATTAAATTGAATTAAGATTAAGTAGGATGGATACAAATGGGTTCAGAAATACACAACATTTTGCTTTTGGAGTGATTACATACTCACTTCAGGAGTCCCAAATCTACTATACCTTTACAATATCTAGATTGATTTAATTAAATTCCATTAGAAGCACTAAATCTAAAACTAACTTATAAAGACAACCAGCATATCAACTAGTATTTATTTTTGCATTCACTTGATAATATTCCCATTTGACTTCTAAAAATTGGTTTAAATCTTTAACAATAATCACTGAAGTATATCTAATGAATTTATTACTAAATATTTACCTATAAAATGGAAATGGACTTGGAGTAAAGGAAGACTAATATTATATTTGCAGTAACTGCATTAAAAAAGACGTTGGAGACATAGTCCCCCTCCCAAATCAAATTTGTAATTTGAAATGTATAATATATATTGGCATCAACATTTGTTTTAATCTGAAAAGGACATTATTTCATTTAAGTTGCATTTTCGTACATTATTAAACTAAAGAGAAGATTGCCCCTGCCAAAAGAAAACAAAACAACATTTTTACGTTTCTTGCTATCATTTTGCTTCATGAGCAACATGACGGTGGAAGGGCAAAATCAAATTACATTTAAACCTTAATTTAATAAGGCAATCAGCAGAAAAATGAATGAAGGGATGTCAAAGCAAAACATAAATTCAACTTCCTATATTATGTTCTTATAATCTTAAGAACTAGCTCGTGTTGACTGTGGTACTGTATTATCTAGCCCAGATTGAAAATCTATACATGCCCAACAGAATTTGATTGTTGACTTTTGTGGTTAAACAGTAGGCATCATGCACAAACAACATGTTGCTATCATATCTTTGAAGCCAAAGGTCTTTTCTGAGAAGTATCATAGCCTTATTCTAATCTCTTAGCATCTTTTCGTATTAAAACTTTCAATACTCTCAGGCTAAATAAATAAGTGCACTATTTGCCAACTTAAAGCAATAGCTTCATTGCTTGCTTTAGTTCCAATTCACATTCACTTTTCGCAGGAAATTTCTATTAAGTAATTTAGGATTACTTAACAGAAACTGCTACATGATAGTATGGAGTTTTTACACTAAAATGCTGTCATTCACCAAATGGCAGCAGTTAGAGAACAGAAATGAAGCATTTTGAAATGTTCTATCTGTTGTAATAGAAATCATTATGTATTTTTAGGGATTTGAAACTTCAAGAAGTTATTGTCAACAAAGTCAAACCAAAGTTTCTATAGAAGTTTAAAGATTAACAAAATTATTGAACATAAACTCTCAAGAGGTTAAAATCCATCTCTTTGTCTGAAACTCTTCGCAATCTCAGGCAACACCAATTTTGCACACAACTGAATAGAAATTGCCTGTGTCTCTTGCTTGCTTTAGTAGGAATGCCTGGACCCAAAACCGTGAAGATTTACAAATTATAATAAGCAGAATTGCTTGCAAAGATTGATTGCAAAGTATGATTTTGAAACAAATCCTATTCTCATATAGAAAAGCACAGGAGAATAACAAACACCAACATGCTGCTCATTCATAATAGATCAGGATAAGTCAATAATCTTGATCATGTGTGAATATAAACACTGCCGATGCTTATTTTTGTTATTCACGTCACTTTCTAAACTTGAATATCTGTAAATAAGCATCAAAATTGCCTTTTCTTGTTTACTTGATTTATTATTTATTTATTTATAAAATTTACAGGCTGCCAATTTATAAGACTTGGGATCAGTGGCCAGAATCTCAAGTTAGGTTAAAAAACAAAAAAAATAAAGGAAAGAGCATACCTGCCACTATGCCATACCTTCATCTCAGCATGCTTAGTACTCTCCCAACTATTGAAAAATTGCTTGACTCTGGAGAAAAGCATGCATCATCAACCCCTTGGGAATTCTCACAATTTCCCAAACCAGGACTGTTTTAAGGGAGTTGGTGAATGCAGAGCAACAGCCAAGCTGGAAGTATGGTCTGCTGTCTTATCGCGTAACCTCCAAACCAGCCTACTCCACTCAAATTTGGTAGAAGAGGTGGTCTTGTCCCTTTCCAATGGCGCACACTTTGCCTTTTCTAAGGGGGCAGGTATTAGGTTGATTTCAAGCAATTATTTTAAGAGCCCTTTGGGCAAGCCTACATTTATAGGAAAGAAAAAGGTATTGATTTAAATTGACTTCAAAGATAATGGCTTTATAGATTAAAATTGCAGCTGCTATTTAAGCTTTTACTTCACAATCCATTAACTCAAGGACGATGAGTAGTTGTACTACTTCCATCATTTGAGGCATGTTACTATATTAATTTCATTGACAGTATACAATATGTGATTTAAAAATGTACACTTTTTCTTGTGCTAAAAATACAGTTTTTCACCATGGAAACAGTTCGATGCATATGCATTTTTTTTTACAATATGTATAGAACACCTAGTCAAGATTGGGCAATGAATAACAGAGTAGAAATAAGTTAGAAAACAATCCAATTATTAAAAATACAATGCCTGTGCATATCCATTATAAAATTAGGTCAAATGCACATTGGAACAGTAGTTTTGTATTATTTTGCAAAATACGAGGAGAAAGGGTGCTAATTGTACTTTCCAGGGAAGCGCGTGCCAAGTATGAACACTACTACAGAAAAAGCTTGTATTTCATTTCCGTTTTTTGTTAAACAACCTTTTTTTAATATAACAAATCTGCTGCATTGTCCCTATGAGCAAGTATATTAGCCAAAAGAACCTCAGTTATAGCAGTGGTGGGCAATCTTTTAGCAACCAGTGGGGGTTTTTTTAATCTTAAAAAAAAATTGAAGGGCCACAGAGTACTTAAATGGTCATGTTACTAATAGAGTGGAATCAGTATTGTCTTCCTTTTGTTTGTTCTGTTTGTTTTTGGAAATGACAGAGTTAAAACCTTAGACCCACGGATTACCCAGATATTTGACTGAACTATCAAAATAGGTGACTTATTAGAACTATGTTGTATCTTGTGTTCCTGTGGTCAGTTAAGGCCATTTATAAGTCTGTGTTCAAACATATATCACCCTTTTTAGAATGTGAGCTAACTAAATCTAAGTAAACAAGTTGGGTGATTGAACTCATGTTAATTCACTAAAGCATTTCTTCTCTATTTGTTTATTGAAATACTACTATAATATTTTTAAAACTGGACTCCTAGTTTTCTCATTCTTATTTTTTAAAAATAAATGGTTATCCTTTTATGGTCTCAGATTGACCACTCCTAAATTTGAAAAGCCATATAAAATCTTTTCCTTTCAATATAAATATATAAAAACAATGGGGGTGTTCAAAAATTAATCTTTTTGTTCTAAAGACTGACTATTCTGTAACATTGATTAATATTTAAATAAGCACTAGCATCTGGAAATAATATAGATGTAATATAAATAATATATAGCAAGTTTGTCCCAGATCTCATATACTTTTCTAAAACATGTTTACCAAGCAGGAATATGATTGATTTCAGCAGTTGATTTTATCACTAGCCTTTACTGGTTATTTTTACTGTGGTTTAGTAATCAGTTTTCTTTCTTATATTTTATCTAATTTTCAGCTATTTGGAGATTTAAAACTTAGATTGTAGCAGCTAAAAATTTAGGAAGTTAATTCTAATGAATAAATCATTTACTGAAGATTAAGGTGACATAGCCTTGGATCCAGATGAACATATTGTGGCATTCACCTATAAATATATAATATATATAATATATAATGTTCTTCCAAGATTTTTAATGTAAGAATATGGCTGTCCTCATACATTTATATTATACATGGGTCTAAACATTGTTGAAGGGAAAGCCAGTCAATCTACATTGAATGCATATTTCAAAAGAAATATTTTGAGAAAAGGTTTTTTAATGTATAAAAAAATATATAGAAATAGATAATGTGGAAGACCTGCCTGTTAATAAAGAAAAAGACTAGCTCCTAAGTTAGATGGTTAAATAAATAAATATTTCATACTTGTATCTTCTTTCATACTTATATTCTGTTCAGCCTTTTTATTATTGTATTCTGTTCCCATGCAGGATGGATGGTCGCAGTATCATTTTGTAGCTTCATCATCAACGATAGAGAGGGATAGGCAAAGACCGTATTCTTCCTCACGCACACCTTCCATCTCTCCAGTGCGCATGTCTCCCAACAATCGTTCAGGTAAGACCAGATATACATAATTGAATAATTAGGGAAACAATTCAACAAAGTCAGATCAAGAACTGAAATTTTATCAAGGGAATTATTAGCTGTAATGAAGCATAGAAAAGGTAATTTGCTTTCTTTCATTTTTGCTTTACATTTTAAATGTTAAACATCTGATTGAATGCTGAACTATTTTTAGCCTTTGCTGGATTATAAAGCTGAAGTTTTTATTCTGTACTACTGCTTTTTTTCTGGAATAATGAAACACTTTCACTTTTGCCACATGGAAGTCAATGGCGCAAAGATTTTTTCTTATATAGTGAAAACTGATTTATATTGGATTCTTACAGTAAGGAATTTGTTTTACCATTTTTTATACGGAATATGCTCTTTTACTGTATTTTATTTCTCTGATCCTTTTTTGTTTCTTAAAGAGATAGGAACTTTTCATTTAATCTCTTCTATTTATTGTCTATGCTTGGGGAAATTATTTCAATTCCTCCTGCAGTTAGCTGACTGTGGAACAGATTGCCCTTGAGAGGAATTGTCTATGTTTTTGCATTACACTAAAAATGAAAACAACAAAAGCTTTCTGGGAAGCTTTTGAAAGAAGAATGCTTCTTACCTTACAAGCTCTTTTTGAAAATTTAGATAATAAGTTCAATGAAGCAACAACAATTGTAAATCATCCTAAAAAGGCTGCTCAGATAGAGGCAACAACAGAATTAGATTTGCAATCAGATGGCTTGTAATTTGATCTGTTGCGACAGAGTTGGAGAAGAAACTTTGTTGGAAAATTACAGATTTGGTGTCCCAAAGATGCTTTTTCAGGAGACAACTGGACTCCCTCAAAATCCTTCCATTCTCCACCATCCAATCAGAGCTGAAAAAGCTTCTTGGATGAAAAGCGAAACATCTTCAAAAAAAACCAAGAAAGTCCAGTAGCCTCCATGAAAAAGCACCTTTGGGACAACCATGACATGGATGACTGAGAATCTCCATAGACATTTAGTTTTGCACTTTGGGATGAACACCCAAAGTGTGGGAGTATGAATGGATTTCCAGAAAATATTGCAGACTACAAGAATCATTTGTTCTTCTGTTTGAGATGAAACCACACAGACTTGTCCACAACAGCCTGAGCCTGTCTTCAACAGTGAAGGGACACAGGGCAGAAAACATCCTGCAGCCAAGAAGGTTCCACACACATTTGCACTACTCAGATGACCCTGAGGACACAAGCAAACTCCAAATGGCCTCAATAACTATCTAAAAGTATGCAAATTCCCAGCTGTCTGCAAGGAATATAAATCCTTCCATTCCCCATTATCCAGTTAGAGCTGAAGAAGCTTCTTGGATGAAAAGCAAAACGTCTTCAAAGAAAAACAAGAAAATACAGTTGCCTCCTGAAAAAGCACCTTTGGACAACCATGACCTGGATGACTGAGAACCTCCATAGACATACAGATTTGGTGGATAAGGTGGAAAGGGCTATGAATCCAAGAAATTCAGAGATGACAGAATGGAACTGGGATGGTTAACAAAACTCATGGAATTTTTTGGGGAAAAAATGCTGTGAAGGTATCTACAACAGAGATTTATGACTTTGGGGGATGCAATTGTATGGAAAGACTCCAGTAATAATTTTAAGGACAGGTTTTATTAGTAAGAATCAGTCAAGGGTATTTGACTCTGGACAGATCAGGGACAATGACTGTAGCGAAAAAGGCTTTCTGTAAATTAATGTTTTTTCTTTCTTTTTTGTCTTGTTTGGTTTTGTTCTCTCTTTGCTTTTTGGGGAGTTTGTATTTTAACTTTTGAATAAAATAAAAAAAATTAAAAAGCAGAAAAGAAGACGTTCCCGTTTCTGATATTGTGTGGTTTTTGTCAAGTTGAGACATTATTGCACTTATTACTATTTTAGTAATCTAGGTTCAAATCTATACTTAGCCATATCATTGATTGGTTATTTGTAAATTATTGATAATCATGGGCCTGCTAAAGGAAGATATGTGAAATAATTTATATTAACATTTGCTTTATAAACATTATAATTACTATATTTCAATATATGTACATGTAATAGCTGTTCCTGATTATTGTTCATATTTGCTGGAGCTGATGGGTATGCTGGTTTGGGTATCTTGATATCCTGGATTATCTTGTAGGGAGACAGATTTAAACATACCCACTGCAGAAGCGTGAAATGATTCCAAAGATCCAAAACGATGTTTCCTCCATAAGTGTTACTAATATTTATTTGAGGTAAATTTTCAATTGAAGTAAAGAAAGGTATGAATATAATTGCAGAACTATGTATGAAGGTTATAAAGAAGGAAAACAAGAAAAGCGTAGTCAGAAGAGTGGAGAGATCAGCTATAATTTTTTCTGTAGAGCTACTTAAAAAGGAAGGATAGCAACTAGAGCTCATTTCCTTAGGATGCTGTTGTCATTTCTTAGTTGAAATAAAAAAGAAGATCGAATGGTCATATATTTATATATGAAAATGCATCAGTAAATATTTAATATATTAAATTATTTATTCCTGGAACTCTTCAGAGATGTACAGTCAATAAGCACTCATTTTGGAATGTTATTACCTTTGCAAAGAAGACACACATAAGGAGAGCAATCTGTTTTTACGTTTAATTTCTTAGGATACAACATTCAGATAATTTCCAAGGTTCCTTCCAGCCATTATATTTTATGATCCTATGGAGTTTTGTACAAGACTATCCATAGGACCTATTCTTGGAAGGCCAGGTTCATGCTATTCCATTCTATAATCCTCTTTAGATGAAATTCACCTTAATGTTATTGTATTCATTACTTAACTACACATTATAGCAGGGGGAGGTGATAGCTCATTGGTTAAAGATGCTGATGTTGCCAGCTGGAAAGCTGACAGCCTGGGTTCAAGACCCAAGCGCCACGTGATGGAGTGAGCTCCTTTACTTGTCCCAGTTCTGCCCAGCTAGCAGTTCTAAAGCATGCAAATGCAAGTAGATAAATAGGTACCACTTCAGTGGGAAGGTAACAACCTTCTGTGCACCTTGGTATATAGTCATGCTGGCTACATGAGCATGGAAATATCTCTGGACAATGCTGCCTCCCTCAGCTTAAAAAAAAACGGAGATAAGCACCACTCCCTAGAGGTGGATATGGCTGGACAGAGAAAACCTTTACCTATTATAGCACATACTTCTATAAATTTAGCCTATTAGTTTGCATTACATTGATAATGATGCTATCAATACAATTATGATTAATTCAGGGAGAGTCTAAAGGCCAGCTAACTCCACCTTTTCCAATCTTGTACGGCTTCTTTCAGTTGTAGTTTGCATTATAAGACAACAGAAATTAAGTTTCCTATATTTTTGCTCAGTCTTTTTGCATTTAAATAAGCAATTTATTTGTTTATTAACTCAATTTGTATGGCCACCTATCTTAACAAGTGATTCTGGGCGGCAAACGATAATAAAATAAGTTAACTCAAGACAAATTGGAAAATGTAGCTTCCTGTTTTTGTATGTTGACTATGAACTGAATCAATACGCATTTAGCTGAACTTCCAAGCTAATAGAAATGAGTGTGTAGTATAACTCGTATTTTGTATCATATAACTTTGGATGATAATAATAATAATAATGATAAAGTTGGAAGGGACCTCGGAGGTCATCTAGTCCAACCTTCTGCTGAGGCAGGAAACCCTATACCATTTCGGACAAATGGCTGTCCAGTTTCTTCTTAAAAACTTCCAGTGTTGGCGCATTCACCGCTTCTGGAGGCAGGTTGTTCCACTGGTTAATTGTTCTAACTGTCAGGAAGTTTCTCCTTAGTTCTAGGTTGCTTCTCTCTTTGGTTAGTTTCCACCCGTTACTTCTTGTCCTGCCTTCAGGCGCTTTGGAGAATAGCCTGACTCCCTCTTCTTTGTGGCAGCCCCTAAGATATTGGAACACTGCTATCATGTCCCCCCTCGTCCTTCTCTTCGTTAAACTAGACATACCCAATTCCAGCAACCGTTCCTTATATGTTTTAGCCTCCAGTCCCCTGATCATCTTTGTTGCTCTTCTCTGTACTCTTTCTAGAGTCTCAACATCTTTTTTACATCGCGGTGACCAAAACTGGATGCAGTATTCCAAGTGTGGCCTTACCAAGGCATTGTAAAGTGGTATTTGTACTTCACGTGATCTTGATTCTATCCCTCTGTTAATGCTCAAGCACATTTTAGATTCATGAATAGTCCCTTATATTCTCTATGGGATCATAGAAAAATATCAAAAGTGTTTTTTATGAATGAATTCAATAACTCTACATATAAAGTCTCCAGTCTTTCATTGACAAATACACATTAACTACACAGAAACAGTGTAAAGGAATTTAGCAAGAGAGAAAACGTAGCAGTGCTTGTCCAGGAAAATTACATTGCATTTTCATTTCATTACCAGTATCTCACAGAGAACAAATGTGTTTGTTTATTTTAATTAATCTGCTGTATAATATATTGTGCTTAGCCATATTAAATATTTAAATAGTAGACCCAAGTTACCTTTATTAAACATTCTCTTCCTCATCTTTTTTTTTAATTTCTTGTTTAATATTATTATATTGCATGCTTAAATTTCACAAGAAGAAACTTTACTAGTGGGAAAAACACTATCTAAATCAGAAACTTGAATATGCTGCTAACCTCTATGCTTAGTAATCACAAAGAGAGCACTAAGGATTCTGAATGTAAATATCCAGCATCAAATTGCATTCCAAGAAGTGGGGTACAAGTCACACAGGTAAGCAAGCAAAAAGAACAATCCCAGCAAAGTGTTCATTTGACTACCTGCCCCTTCCCTTTGTAAATAAGGTGACTTGCCTACACTGTAATGACAAAAGGAAATGTTTTTGCACTCAGAGAGAAAGCACTTATCCCTGCTCTGATGAAACTCTGCAGCTGTTGACATCCATTTCACTCACACACAATTCTGCCTGAGAGAGCAATACATGTATACAATGGAACAAACCATTACAGCACCCTCATGATTTTTTTCTTTTTTTTG